CCACTCTTCAGAGAACTCCAGTTTTCAATACCCATGCTGGATGGCTTGCACCTTCCTGTAACTCCAGCTCCAGCTTGTCTGATGCCCCCTACTGGCCTCTGTTTGCACCTACACTCATGTGTGCATACCCCACCCCCTCAGACAGATGCATATACACATAAAGTACAAACAAACAAACAAAGCACTGCATCTCACTGAAGAAGTCTGTGAGATGTAAAGAGAAGTCTTTTTCTTGTCTGCCACTTTTGGTTTTTCCCCCACCAGTCACCTGGGCTCTGTCATGTTGTAGTCCCCAAATAACACACAAGACGTTGTATTAATTATGAAGCTGTTGGCCTTGCTTGTTTCTTACTGGCTAACTCTGACTTAAGTATTTATCCCATAATTGTTAATCTAAGTATTTCTCTTACTGGAGAAGTTTCTGGGCTTCTTATCCCTACGGCGGTTACATCTTGACTCTGTTTCTCCTACCCATAGTCCTCCTGGACCCCTAGTCCCACTTATCTTGCTTCCCTATTGGCCAACAGTGCTTTATTGACATATACACAGGACTTCCCCAACAGTGAGATCTGCTGCTGTTGACCAATCTCAACACCAGAGCAAGCAATAGAGCTCAACATAAATAACTGAGCAGACAGGCACAGTCCTCGAAGAACAATTGTGGGGTATTGATTGCATGGTACATCTGAGGACTGCTTTGCTTGCTCCAAACCAAAAAGAATGTTCTGGATTCTTGGGCATTCCTTCAGATCAACTATATCTTTATCTCTGGTCTGAAGAACGCTGATACTCTGTTAGCAAAGAGGTCAACCGACCCAAGCCTTTGAGCCCCAGACTGGGAGACATGACCCTGATGTTGGCACAGTGTAGAATGGGTGTCATCTGGCACAAATTGTGGCCAGTTAGAATTTTATGGATATTTGCCACATTATCTTTTTCTTTATTCTTTTTGTTTGACCAAGAGGATTATGGGGAGAAGTGATGAGATGAAACTTGAAAAAAAAAAACTGAAAAAATTAGATTAATTTAAAATTTTGCGTGCGCGCGCGCGCGTGCGTGCGTGCGTGCGTGTGTGTGTGTGTGTGTGTGTGTGTGTGTGTGTGTGTGTGTGTGTATGTGTGCACAGATATCTACAGAGGCCAGAATATGGTGTCAGATCACCTAGACCTAGACTGTACAAGTGGTTCTGGGTGGCACTACTAGGTTGCTGGGAACCAAACCCGAATGTTTTGTGTGTGCAGCAAATGCTTTCAACCACTGAGCTGTCTCACCAGTCCTTACTTCAGACTTGTGAATCTGTAAAATGAGGCTACAAATTCTCTTCCAAAGGACTTCCCTGTGACTGATATTAGCTTGCCATAATGTGTGTATCTTATTGCCTAGTCTTAACTTAGACATATGATCTGATGCCCCATCCACAGGGGTTCATTCAGATTTGGGTTCAAAATATCTATATTTTAAAAGAACTCATGAAAGAGCTAGAGGTTCAATTTAGTGGTAGTACACTTACCCAGCACGGCTGAAACTTGGTTTCTATGCCCAGGATGGGGGTGGGAAGGTGTGGTTTAAGTTGTTCTGAACCAAGCAGTTTATTTGAACAAGTCACTCCTTTTAAAATGCTTTTTCTTTTTTTCTTTGTAAATTTTATGTGCACTGGTATTATACCTGCATGTATGCCTCTGTGAGGATGCTATACCCCTGGAACTGGAGTTACAGAGAGTTTTGAGCAGCCATGTGGGTACTGGGAATTGAACCAGAGCTCTTAACTGTTGAGTTACCTCTCCAAACCCAAGACACTCTTAGTGACTGATAAAGCTTTCTGACAGTCAAATGATAGTACAGACCATCTTCCCAAGACCATTCATATCTTAACTGGGAAGCAGCCCCTGTGAGAGTAGCCCAGCCCCCTCCCCTTTTAAAGTCCAATGACATGAGAAATCTCTGCAGAGATGTCTATTGTGGTGTCAACACTGTTTTGGGTCCATACAGGCAGACTGTCTGCTTTTCGGGGACCTGTGCACACATAGACAATAATTACTCTGGGCTGCAGCTGCTAACATGATTTTACAAATTCCCCCCTCCCCACTCCAAAGAATGCTAACATGATTTTACAAATCTCCCCCTCCCCACTCCAAAGAATGGGCCTGAACTTACTGCAATTGAGCAGGGCAGACAGACCTACCTGGAGTTACTCCTGCTAGCCGGTTCTTTGAGGGCTTTTGTAATTTGCATTCCTCAAAGAAATGGAATTTAAATTCCTTAGGCAAATTTCATCCTGATGGAACACCAAACTGACACATATGCCGTGATCTCATTCTTCAGGATTTCTGATTTATAAGTACTCCTGTGTGCTTCCTCGGGCAGGCCAGATAAACTGCTGGGATGCAATGCTATTCCTTTCTCATGGCTAGCCCTTGGTTTTGAAAGCACCTGTACAGCAACCTCCCCAACAGCGCATGGAGCTTTTGCACGGTGGTAAGGGCGCAATAGGGTATTGCAGAAAGAATTAAAAAATAAAACAGAACCGTGGTTCTTGGATACAGGTTAAGGAAATAGATGTTCCCTTATACCATCAAACAATGCAACAGCTGAGTTGCAATTGGAAGATGTTTGTGTGCAAGCTGGGAGTCATGTCCTTCTATGCTACACAAGGAGGATAAGAAGAATCTTAGTAACGTTTGAAATCATTTATTTGGTTTGCTGGATAGTTATTTCACCAGCCACCAAAATAAACATTGCCTTCTATCTCTCCTGACCTGTCTAGTCCCTTTGATCTTTTGGGGATAGAATGACAGGAGAGCAGCTTCCTCGGGAATCTAACAGCTGTTTTACTTACAGTTTATCTTGGTTCATTCTGTTTCCAGTGCAGAAATAATAATAGATTGGTTCTGAGCATTAAAGAAAGATCAGCCAACAGCAGGTGTTCTGGGGTATGGGGCCTGAGCTGCAATCACATTTTGGCCACTCAGGTCTGGGAACTTTATCACTACCCTCTTAGCCACATCCAACCTGGTCAAATGGCTATGCCTAAGATTCATGTGAGGCTTGGGTAAGTGCTGGAAAAGTGGACAAAGGCCGTGCAAACACAGGTGTGTGGCTGTAAATTCATACATACCTCATTAGAAAACACTGACTTAGAGCCATTGGTTTCTCAATTTTTCTTATATATATATATATATATACACACACACATATATATACATATATATAAGTGTGTGTGTGTATGTGTGTGTATACATATACATATATATCTGAAAAGTTTCAGTTATTTCCACTGCCCTGAACAAATGTCAAAAGTGGGCTGGAGAGATAGCTCAGAGGCGAAGAGTATTTGTTGCTCTTAGAGGGGACCTAGGTTCAGTTCGCAGCACTCACACTGGGCAGCTGAGAACTGCCTGGAACTTCAGTTCTAAAGCCTCTAATGCTCTCTTCTGGCCTCCATTAGTATCTGTATGCATGTGGCTCGCACAGGTACACCTAAAATAAATACACACGCTCACAAAATGAATACTTTAATAATGGCACTGTTTCTATTTTAAATGTCTGAGGGAATAAGTGAGTTAGTAGAGCACTTGCCTAGCATGCACAGAGCTCTGGGTTCACCTTTCAACACAGTGGTGTATGCCTGTGACCCTTGGGTATGGTGGTATATGCCTGTGACCCTTGGGTATGGTGGTGTATGCCTGTGACCTTTGGGTATGGTGGTGTATGCCTGTGACCTTTGGGTATGGTGGTGTATGCCTGTGACCCTTGGGTATGGTGGTGTATGTCTGTGACCCTTGGGTATGGTGGTGTATGCCTGTGACCCTTGGGTATGGTGGTGTATGTCTGTGACCCTTGTGCGTGGTAGCGGATGCCTGTGACCTTTGGGCATGGTAGTATGTGCTTGTGATCCTTGCGGAGGGTGGAGGCAGGAGGAATGTAAATACAGGGTCATTCTAAACTAATCAAGTTTGATGTCAACTGCGATATGTAGTTTTATCTTAAAAAGAAAGACAAGATGCAAAGACAGTTTTAAGAGCATGGGGCAGGGTGAGCTAGCTTTGCTTAAAGTTGTCTTCAGTCTGAGCACTGTGAGAATCACATTTCATGTTTGCTACAGATGCATGATGTAAGAAAAGCTATCTAAATCCACAGCTGAGGCATGTGAACTAATGTTGGTGGCATTGTGTATAGAACCTGCCGGAAATTTAGGGATTCGAGACTCTTCAGACAATATACAGACAGAGATTCTGGTTCAAGACACTTAATTCTGTATAGCCGTCTGGAGACAGATTTAAAAAAGCAATTTGGCCTTTTACAAAATTTAGAGGTTTCCTGTTCTCTATGGTTCAAGTAAACATTGACAAGAATCAGACCTCTTGTAGATGGACTTCACAATGCGTGTAAGACAGGGAACTGATAAAAAGTCCACCAGAGGGGCTGCAGGTGTAGTTTAATGGTAGAGTATGCCTCTCCTGTATGTGTGAGGCCCTGACTTCAATGCCCAGAACAAAGGTTCCCTGACAAAGAAGTGTGTGTGTGTGTGTGTGTGTGACACAGTGTCTATTATGTAGATTTGGCTCTCCTACAAATCACTACATAGACCAGGCTGGCATCAAATTCAGAGCTCTACCTGCCTCTGCTTCCCTAGTGCTAGGATTAAAGGCTTGTGCCATCACACCAGGCTTGATAAAGAATTCTTAAAATCAACATGCAGAGGATTTACCATCTTTTCTAATCACTGCTCACTGCAATTTCCAAGTGGACAGCATCTGGGCATGGTGGCACAGGCTTGTAATTTTAGGAATTAAGAGACTGAGGCAAGCAGGCTGTGAGTTCAAGGCCAGCCTAGGCTACATATTGAGTTTGAGGCTAGCCGGGGCTTTGTAGAAAGACCCCATATGAACCAAAATAGTAAAAAAAAAAAAAAAAAAAAAAAAATGAGGAAGGGAAGAGTTTAAGGTTGACATTAAGTTAGATTTTCTTTTCTTAAAAATAACAGAAGCAAATTCTATCAGTGTTTTTTTAGCAAATGATAAATTTATTAGGTGTCTACAAGTACAAAACACTGAAAGCTGCTGTAGAGGATTACAAAGGTGTGCTGGAGATGCGCCTGCCCTTGAAGAACTCACAATCTAGACCAAGACTCACATGGACAAGTTGTGGGATGTTACTCGATGTAAGCCTAGTTCTTAGACAGTCCCGAGGCACTCTGAATTCTTCTCCGGCCAGACGTAAGGAATCCCTTCAACAGGAAAGTTCAACATGGGAAAGAGACCTTTTGCGGAGTAATCAGTGACCTTGACTTTGCTTCTAAGAATTGTCCCATTGCTGCTGCTCCTTTCTCGTAAATTCTCAGCATCGTGTCTGACCTTGGTGTGGAGAGAATCTCCAGGCTTCCTGAACCTTCACCAGGGTTTCCTGTTTGTGGGTGAGTGGCTCAGTCGCAGCTTGGCCTTGGAATGATTCGTCATCCAATTTTTCTTTCAGGCAATGTATCTTTGGATTTCGGTTGGCACTGGGCCGCTCTGCTTTGCAATCCCTGCTTCTAAGGGCGGAGGAAGATGCAATGCAGAATGCAGGCCAGACTCTTTCCCTTACTTTAAACATTTAATAGTGCATTTACTGAATATACTCTGTACAGATATAGGGCAAATTATAAACCTCTTCCTTTATTTACTCTTTTTTTTCACTATAACTGTATTCACGTAAGTGTATTTACAATGCGGAGAGGGGAACCTTGAGGTACAAAACCCAAAAGAATATCTGAGGTATAAATACAAGTACATTTTAAATAATAATCTTTATCATGCTTTATCTATGTCTGAAAGCACAGTGGACAGACATGTGTACATGTTTCTCAATAAAATGGTATATACAGCATACAATCTTACAGACCCAGAAGCCAACGAAGTTAGAATATACACGCACATCTTCACAAGCAACACTGATAATTCAAATACTCAAATTTTAAAACTCTACTCTGACCCCCCCGCAATTCTTCAAAGAACCTCTGAAATAATACTGACAAGGTAACTAAGTTATAACAAAATAAAAATCCTTCTTCGACTCTCATTCATATGTTATTCATTTTTTGATCCATACAAAATAAATTTACTAATACTGTCTTGAGTCAATCTTTACCATTACAGTAAAACCTGTATAAAGACAACCCTTCCAAACACACCTGCACTATCTGTTTTTCACTGAGATTTCTATCCCCCATTATTACGAAAATACAGTTCAAGGGCATTATGAGAGAAAAGAAAAAAGAAATGGAAGAAAAATAACAAATAGAAAACCCAGTTGTTCATGAGGACAAACCCAATGAAAATACACACACACGGTAGCTGTCAGGAACACTAATAACACCAATAATCATCAATAATCAAAAGCCTCTTGTGCTTGGGTTAACGCTATGGGGACATATTTCCCTGTGTTCCCTTGTTTATCTTAGAGTTTACGTCACAAGCATAAAATACTATGCATTGTAACAGGTAAAAAGTGTCGATGAACACCTCTTATCCCAGCTATTAGACGGACTGAGACAGGAGCCTCTGCTATACAGTCAGTTAGTTGTTCAAGACCAGCCTGGGCAATGTGGTAAGATCCTGTCTCAAAGTAAAAGATCAAAACAGAGCTGGGGATAAAGTCCGCTGTAGAGTGCTTGCCTGGCATATAAAAGGCCCTGGGTTCAACTCCCAGTCCCAGAAACTAAAAAAAAAAAAAAAAAAAAAAAAAGTTTTGGTACTTTGCTTGTAGATGTTAGCATTAGGCCTTGACATCTCACGTCAATAAAAGCCTTCCTTTGGAGCCAGTCAAGGGAGTGGAGAGGATGCTTCTTAAGACTACAGTCGTTGGAAACTCTAGTTTTTGGGAAAGTAAAGGTTTGAAGAAAAGGAAAGAAGGAGAAGGAGAAGGAGGAGGAGGAGGAGGAGGAGGAGGAGAAGAACAAGAACAAGAACAAGAAGAACAAGAAGAAGAACAAGAAGAACAAGAAGAAGAACAAGAAGAAGAACAAGAAGAAGACCCAACCCCTCCCAAAACACCACCACAAAACCCTAGGGGGAGAGGGAGAAGGGGGCTAGCTGGGCTCCCCTTCTGGGTAGATCCCTGGGTACTCCAGGTGGAGCTAAGCCTGGTGTAAGCATCAGCATCCCCTGCGGAGCATCTCAGTGTGCCAGACACTGCGTCCCAACTCTCCATCTGTGCCACTCAGCCAGCAACACACACATTCACGCTTCTCTGTGCAAACCGTTCTCTGCTCATCTCGGGGACAAGACCTGTCAACGAGTACCAACCCTTCCAGTGGATACATCAGTCCCTCAACACGCCGCAAACAAACTACATAGGTACACATGCGCTGACGTCGCGAGAGGACGACATCCTCCCCACCATCTTCCCGTACGCGCCGAAAGAGTTCTTGCTTCTCAGAAGCAATCTGAATTAATACAAGTACTCCCCACCCCACGTCCCAAGTCTTATATAATCCAGTCAAGGTCTGTAACATAGACCTAAGACAAACAGGAAGCAGCTTTGAAAAAACAGAATCTCGTCAAATTGCTATAGTCAACGAGACCCAGACGGACTCCTCCGAGGACTGACAAGGTTCTAGAAACAATCACCCAGGCAGCAGACTCAGGTGCTTGGCCTCCGTGATCACCTAGATTTGGTATCCTTGGTTTCAGTGTTCTGATTACTGAAGGAGTCCCGGATCTTTACCACCTCAGCTGCACACAAATGTCCAAAAGATTTTGTGTACCACTCCGGCATGTGGCCCCTGTCACACAAAAGAAAAGCTGGTGAGTTATTTAAATTAGAGCTGAGATGTGACAAAAGCAGTCTTGAACTCTCTCTCTCTGTCTGTCTGTCTCTCTGTCTTTCTCTCTCTCTGTCTCTCTGTCTCTCTCTGTCTCTCTGTCTCTGTCTCTCTCTGTGTCTCAATCTCAACCATGAGGACTGTGCTCAGGAAATTCTTCACTACCTAGCTCCAAAGGCTCCGACTTCCATTTCTTTCTTTGACACAGTTATCTCCACAGGGCCTTAAACACAGCGACCGGCCTGCCTCAGCCTCCCAAGGGCAGCCATGCCTACTTCCACTCCTTGGTGAGCAACACGTGGGAGTGAAGATGACCTTTTGTCTACAGATGACCCCCTGGCATGCCCGTGACACAACTAAGACCAGAAAGTTTCCAGGGGACAGCATTGAAATCATAGCCTTGCTTAAAGGAAGCTTTGGCATGTATCACAGAAATGCTTCACATGGGTAACTGACGCCTACAAAGGAGGATTATTTAAGAAAAGAGCATTGGCTAGTTGACTTTGGGTGTTCTTGTAGTTGATGAATCACATTCATTTACGGCACAAGCAGAGAGAGGCATAATCAATTACAGACCATGCACTGTTAAAACACCTTCCATTACGAAACAGGAAATATCTACTTGTTGGCTCACTATAAAACATATTACTTCCGGTGGCTTTAAATTTGTGATAAAACTACCAAATTCACACTGCTTTAGTAGCTCATCTCCTAATGAATATGGATTGAAAGTAGTATCCCAAAGGACAGCAAACATCATCACGGTATCGCTTTATTAGCACAACTCTTCATAAAATTTCCAGCACAGTGATAAGATTCATTTTACCACACTGGGCATCACATGGAAAATCTGCATCTTCTGCATCCCCACCCCCACGCCGGAAGGTCAGAATGAGAATATACCTTAAATCAGCTCGGCACATGTAGGTGAGTTTGGATTTTCCTGACCCGCAGGGTTCCATCAAATATCTGGACAGGAGCACATTAACCCTCACCCCCACCACAGGTGCCCGGTCATGATCCACAGAGGTGAGTAAGAGGGCGCAGGCTCCCCTGGGTAAGTTAGTCCTCCAGGTCCTGTGGAGACAAAACCAAAGGGGGGATGGAATTTCTCAGAAGCCAGGTTGGAAATGGCACCTCCCTCCTGGCATCCTCCCGGTCAATCGGTACAGGGCCACCTCTACTTGGGGGTGTAAATGCTCAGTCGCCCCGTCCCTTTTTGGAAATGAGCCAGTTTGAAGTGTTTTCTTTTTAACCCCTTTCACATTGCATGAATGTCTCAGGGTGTGGACACTGAACAAGCCGTGAGCCGTTCTGGAAGAATAAAGTGACAATCCTTCAAAGCTTTTGGAAGCTGCTCCCTCAAAAGCCTCTGGAGACTTGGGAATTACATATAAATCAACCTTAACCACATCTCAGTTGGGACTAAATGCTGCCTCCTGGTCCGCCCACTTTTAGCTGTTTCTAAGTATCTACAGGCAATGGGGAAGACATCTATCCCCATGGCGCATTCATTTGAAAGCTCCTCCCTGTTTGAGCTCAGTTCCAAGAGATAAAGCCTGACTCGGTGAAGCAGCCTGTTGGCGTGAACATATATGTGCGTTGAAATCGCTCAGTATTTTCCCCGACATCTACACCCACTTTTAAATAACATAACCATATTGTGAGTTTGAGTGACACACGGGCTCAGTCTTGCCGAGTAGTTGTCTAGGCCACCGTCAGGTCAATTCGGAAGCTCTCACCTCAACACGACGTAGTCCCGAGCAGGGTGCGGTGCCATGCTGTTTTGAACGTACTGGTAGATTTCGGTCTGGCTGTCCAGGGTTTCTATCACCTTCGAGTCCAGCAGGTCCACGTCCCAGAGGTGCTGCTCTTTCAGGAGACGTTTTAAGATCTCCTCGGGTGCCGCAGGGACTTCAATGGTTGACCTCCAAAGCCTTAGCGGGGGCCCTTCACTGACCTGCAAAGCACATGGGCCATTTTCAATGCTAAGCAAAAGCATATACACTTTGATTCTGAAAGCAAATTCTGAGTGGGGGACGTGACCCCTGTTCTGAGGCTGATAAATAAAATCTATGAAGCTAATAGGCCACTAGCCCTACTACACTCCAGAGCAGGCTCGGAGTACAAACAAAAGTGTCAGCTGTGGTCACAAGTATGACTTCTGTCTCCTGGGGCTCATATCAGAATGGCTGGGATAAATTCATTTATTTTACCCCGAAGTCTATATGGCCATTTGACCACTTTATTTTTTAAGGTGGCGGAGACAGTGTGGACAAACACCTTGATGGACATTACGGTGAGATACAAAAGGATGCCCCACGCAGTGACTCGGAACACATGGGGGTGAAAAACTATCTTCTTTATAGCATAGAACAAAATATGTAAACATGTCCTGAGATGCCCGGTGAAAGCCCAGTACCACTAGCGAATCAGGTTAGCCTAGGAAGATTTTGTGGCAGGAAGGGACTGCTTCATAGGCAGACTGCGATCTCCCAGGCTCGAGTTCATCCCTCTGTGAGAGATGTCTGTTCTTACCCAGAGAATCTCAATCACAGGGCCGGCTCTCAATGACAGGCCTAGGGTAGGGATCCCCATAGAGAAAACAACTGGGTAGTCTCATGACCATGGAAATGAACAGGGAGAAGACGGACCTTCTTATAGGACAGCTCGGCCTGTTCAGAAGTAGGGTAGCTGACCCAGCCTTTGAACTTTTCTTTGACCTCCTTAAACAGGCCATCCACACAGTCCTGGAGGAAGTGTCTGTAGTCGGCAGGCTGGTCACTACTCAAGTGTCCCAAGGCCTCCAGTGTGAGGGGCTTCAGCTCTTGCTCAGTGTAAGAGTTTCGACATCGGCTCATTTCCTCGGGAACCTGGGAGGAACACAGAAGACAAGAAGGTGATGGATCCACCACTGCCTCAGTAGAGGGTAAGGGCAGAAACAATGGCCAGACTCAAGCTGGCAGCCCATTCCTGCTCCCGTGAGATAATGGAGGGTAATTACAACAGGGCTTACATGGATCAAAGCAGGTTTCTCAGTCAGAATTTTAATTCCAGATAATTTGTTGCTCTTTCCCATCCCCCCAAGACAGGGTTTCTCTTATATGGCCCTGGCTGTCCTGGAGCTAGCTCTGTTGACCAGGCTGGCCTTGAACTCTGTTTTTACTTTCAAGTAAAAAGTCAACAATATTACAAAACATTAACTGCAATGAGTGTACATACACATATATATCTAAATACTCACAAACAGCTCATGTATGCTAAGTGAGAGAGTGCACATGAGTGTGTGTGTGTGTGTGTGTGTGATTCTCAGCCTATGCACATAATCTCCTGTTATGGGAAAGACCTTTTGCCCAGATGAGAACAAGCAACAAGCCAATGATCTTGTGCCCATCTACATTATCCTTAGCACAGCAGCCAAGCTTCAGGACTGGTACCTACCTGGAAGAGCTTCTTGCACTCAGCAATCATGTGGGCCAGCCCTTGCGTGGCAGCTAGGTTTTCATTCAGATCTTTCTGGTCTGGTTTCCCCAAACTCTGTTTTCTTTGCATGACCCTAGGGAAAAGAAATAAAGGGTTTGGATAAGCAGGTTAAGTAGTTCAAGAGACAGCTTCTCACAACGCAAAACACAAAGGCATGTTTTGGTTAAATATCCAGGCGATTTAAAGACGTTTTACTAAGTAGTTCACAAGAACATGTATTTGCTGGGCACTGAGGCAGCTTCTATAGGAAATGAGGTGGGAGCCGCTTGGAGCAGGGATAGATGGTATTGCTATCCTTACAGGCTAAGTAAATAGGATCTCCTACCTTGGGTGAGGGATGACTCTATTGTTTTCTAGATGTTTGGTCTTAATCTTATCTGACCCCTTTTCTGCTCATCTCCTGTAGTTTTCTATCCCATTAAAGTTGGAATGTCCCAACAACTTTTAACACTAGTTAAAGGGCTACTTAAGTATTGCATGGCTTCCAGGCGCAATGACTTAAATCCATCAAGCTGAGAAAGGCTTTTCAGGTTCCTAGGGCTGAATAGAGGCAGATGTGTTGAGTCTATCCAGCTGTCACCCTATCTTCCTGTGCTGGTGGGGTGATCTTACCAAGAGCTATTCATGTAAGAACTGCAAACCAGATCTGTTCTTTCTTCCTTTCCAAACTGACCTTTCCCTAAACTTTGCTTTATTCTTGGGGAAAAAAAAAAAAAAAAGATCCTTGTCACTTTGCCTATCTCCTGTGATTGTTATGGCACAAGAAGATCAATGCAAAGAAAAAGCCTTGTGTCTGGTATGGAGTAAGTCCGAGGCAAGCATCAACCTTACTGAGCACCGAGCTTCCTCCACTTTCTCCACAGCTACTCCCACCTTGTGTACTTGTATTCTAAGCAGAAATGTTTGCCAATAACTAGCTTAGGCCGTGTGTTAAGTAGGAGCAACTCTGAGGTTCAATAATAACCTTTGCCCTTTGTAGCCTCACAGGCACAGGTCAGAAATGTGTCTTTCCATGTCCCACGGGGGGCTAAGGTACCGGGGATACCATCTGTCCCTACTCTAAGCAGCTCCCACTCCAGGCAATTTAGGCCAGTAGGTCTGCAAGACTGTTGGCTGGGAGAATGGAAATGACACTGTTTGATTTGCCTTAATCACTGGACACGCCAAAGCACATACCCATGGTGCTCTCTCTCAGGACCCCTCCTCTTAAAAGATGCTTCCAGAAAGGAATGCTAGCAAAGGGGACAGAGAGGCACAGGGCTGCTCTGTGAGCTGAGACTAAAAGGAGCCCGGACAGGAAATGCTCCCAAGCAGACAGAAAATGCTCCCCAGCAGTTCACTTTTCAGATAACTGATGTCCAAGATAGGATGCAGCTGGAGAAGATAGGTCACTGTGGGCAGGTCCTTGAGTATCTTGTCTCTGTCCCCCTCTTTCTCTCTGTGATCAGGTTGCCATGGAACAAAGATCCTGCTGTCCCGTGATGTCCCACCTAAGACATGGGGCCAACCAACACGGGCTGACTCCTCTGAAACCATGAGCAAAGTCAACCTATACTGCCTTAAGTTGTGTTAGCCAATCTGTCACAGTGACACATGAGGGCCTAATTCCAGGACTAACCACGTTTGCTCAGGTCAGGTAAGAATCCAACAAGAACACAGGGAGGAAGTGAGAGATGCCCCTGAGGACCAGGGCCTAGCCATGCTCCTGTGTCTGACCTGTACCTTGGGGAAGAATTCTCTCTCTTCAGGGTGTTGAGGTGGAAGAGAGAAGGGGCTAAGCACACAGCCAGGTTGGTGGGAGTCATCTGGTTTTCTTTCACGGCCGCTGTGACGTCGCTCAGGAAGTAGAGAAGCGTCTGGAGAACTTCCCGGTTCTCGTCAGGCAGGAGCATAATGGCTGCCTTGATAGCTTGGAGGCGCTGGTCCTTGGGCACATCTGCAGGGCACAAGCATTCCCACCATCAGCTCAGTGATTTTCCACATACATAGCAAGTCCGCATCCCAAAGCAAACATCGGCATCAAACACTGAACGAGCACTTGCAGAAAGCATACTAAAGATTAATAAGGAAGAAATTATGGGCTGCCACGGGCGTCACTACCCTCAAGTATTTCCTGCCTTGTGGGGGAGTTGAAACATTTTAAACACCCACAGTGCTAACATACTCTAAAAGTCGACCTCAGAGTTTGGCCCCAGATGATATGTTCTTGCAGTGTACAGAACTGTTTCTTCTAAGCACTTAGGAAAAAAAATCAATTTGCCACCCTAACTATTGAAATCGCTCTACATTTAAGATTTTGTGTAGTTTCAATAAAAAGTTTATGTGAGACACGTGTAAGAAGTTAAGAATGGAGATCGCTCAGCTGGCTATAAAAGTATCTTTGGGGACCAGTTTTGACCTATTTGCTCATCCTTAAAATGGGAAAGGCTGTTAAAATATGATGTCAATCGAAGTAGACAGATTTCAAGCAATAACTTAAGGTTGAGAAAGAACACCAAGAGGCAAATGTATCAAAATGCACATAAGCCTATAGAACAGTTGACACTACAGTGAGTCTGCGCCCAGCCTTCCAGTCTTGTCCGCCAGGCAAACTTAAACTTTTTAAAAGCATGTGGTGGAAAAATCAAGTCACTTAAATGTAGGGCCATAAGACAAACTGATTAAACAGCTCCATGGTTACAATGCATAACAAATACCTCTGAGGGGGAAAATGTGACCTGTGTTTTCATAAAATACGAAAGGCCGAAACAAATAATGAAACAGTCCAGACCAGACCAGCTCCGTTTCTCATAAAATGAAGCTCAATACGTCAGTGCTAAAGACCATTTCAGCTGTGCGGAGCTGCTTTTAAACCACGCTGCACTAATGCCGCCCGAGCCAAGAAAAATACAAGGCTGTGAAAGCCACGATCCTGATCTTGATCATTTATTCCCACAACTGTTGGCTTTAAGCTGCGCTTGAAAGTGAGGAGGACGTGCGTATTGTTTTCCCAGGTATGTCTGGAAGGGGCCGTGATGAATAACAGAAAAAAAAACTATTTATTCATTTTCCAGTGAGATAAAACACACACACACACACTAGAGAAATTTTAAACTCAACAGCCCCGTGAGAGAGGTGTAAAGTAAATGGTAAGTGTATAGACAAGGGAAGAGGGAAGGGAATGAGAGGTGGGGGAAGGAGTGGGGGTGGGGGGAGTGATGGAGTGGAGAAGTGGGGGCGGGGAGAAGGGGCACCAGAGGGCAGGCATACAGTTTCGGGACCCCACTTCTCAGCATCTACGTCACACTGCTCTAGACAAATGAGAGCTGATACAGGACTTGACTGGGAAGACGTTCAACTGCGTCAACACTTACAGACTGATCAGCAACATTTACGTCCTCTTTCCTTTTAAGACAAGGCCTCATGGAACCCAGGTAGCCTTCAGATTCAGCATGTAGCCAAGGATGGCCTTGAACTTCTGACCCTCCCACGTACTAGGTGTGCACCACCACTCCTGGATCATGTCGTGTCGGGGGAGCAAACCCAGTGTTCCACGTGTGCTACACAATCACTCTGCCAACACATTCCCATGCTACAGAAATTCATTTTCCGATTACTCAGTAAGCATGCACAAACCTATTTCACAGGCAAGAAGGAAAGAAACTGGTAACTTGTGTATTTACGAGGGTCCCCGGGCAGCTTTTCTTGGTGAAAGAAAGACATGAAAAGAGGCTGCGTGTTTCAGTGAAACCCAGCATCAGCGGCCTTAAGGAGATCCAAGAATGCTAACTTACACTGGTAGATCTGCAGGAAGGTTTCCGAGAGTTTGTTCGTCATGAGGGGCTCAGGAAGATCTCGAAAGTATTGCTTTAGCATGTCTGCCACATCGTACGCGGACTGGCCTTCGTAGTTGACATAGTCTTCCGCACTCTCATTCATCTGCCGTAGCGCCTGAATCCTGGATTTGACACCCGATTTTCTGAAGAGCCCAACCTTTGGAAGAAAAGCATTAGGGATGAGGGCCGAAGCAACCAGCGCCTCCCCTTCAAAACTGGAAGAAAAGCAGCACGAAGCTCAGTTCCCATGAGCAGGATCGACCTGCAGCTATACTCACCTGGTCCAGACAATGGTTCCGGAGGTAGCGCATGGCCTGCTGGATACTCTGAGGCAGGGGCTGCCCTGAGCGCTGCACATTCACAGTCAGCGGGACCCCAAACACGCTCCGGTCTTTGTAGTCTGGAACCTTGATCCTTTTCATGAACTTGGGCACGGCCCTGTTGAAACAACAAGGTATTGGTGGTGAGGGATATGTTTACTTGCTTGATTTCACTCACCTTTTTTTTGCAAACTGTGTCTCAGTTGGACTAGCCACACTAAAGGCCATATTGGTCATTTGTGTTCAGTGGCTACTACCATGAATTATGTGAGTATAAAACATCCTAGGAATGTTTGGCGTGTGTGTGTGTGTGTGTGTGTGTGTGTGTGTGTGTGTGTGCGCGCGCGCGCGCGTGTGTGTGTGTGTGTGTGTGTGTGTGTGTGTGTGCAAGCACATGTGCAGGAATAGGACTTTTGGTGCAGGAACCCAGAGCCCCATGACTACTGGGCAAGTGTTCTACTACTGAGCTACACCCCTAACATCTCCCCCATTCCTTTGTAAGACATTTTCTCACTATATAGCCCAGGATGGTCTTGAAATTACAATCCTCCTGTCTCAACTTCTTCAGACATGCACCACCATGACTGGCTATGCCCTAGATACCTGACGAGTTGGAATTGTAAGACCTGGTGAAACTTCCTCATCTGGAGGATTGATTAATTCCTAGGAGAGGTTGATGAACTTTCCCAGCCTGCTCCTGAATGTATTCAGGGCTAGTAGCCCATTACATGGTGCAGGAAGGCAGAGGCAAAAAAAAACCTCATAACACCTTACTAGGTAGTTCTGATAAACAAAACTTGAGAAACAAGTTCTCATTTTCCCTAAATAGGCATGAATCCCTTCTGGGTTCTTCAAGAGATCTGAACTGCTTCCGGTAAAGAGATCTGGGTGACACACGGCATAAAAATCAGCAACACACATTGCTGACAGGCTTGTCACACTGAGAACCAACACTGGAGCCCAAACGGGGCACGACCCCGAAGTCAAAATAAATTCCCCTGCGGATGACCCCAGAGAATGCAGTGTCTTCAGGCTTCTATGGGAACGTGGAAAAGGCACAATGGGAGTTTTGTGACACTCCCCAAGGCTGCCAGGAGCCCTGAAAGCAGGCCCGCCCCCAGCCATATATGCAACAGCAGGAAACTCATGTCAGGCATTTAAGGCCATCAGGCGGACGTGTGAGCTCACAAATGACCCCTCTGAGTGAAGCCAGAAAGGGCAAAGCCGAACAGGAAAGAGACTTTGGGCAGAAGTGCTCCATGCTGTCCCAATCCCACAATGCCAGGCTTTTACATTTGGTTTTGACTGACTGGAAAAACTGACCAGAGCTGAAGTAGTAGGGCGGACTTTCAGATTTTTTTGAGGGTTTGGTGAGAAAGGGGTGGGCACCTCTGAATGGAGAATCTGAAATATGCAGTTTTAAATAGCAGTGAGGAAAATATTACTCTAAGCACAGAGGGACACCACAGAAAGCCAACTGCCTTGACTTCTGGGTGCTTGCCCACAGCCAGGACATGCCACTCTTGAAGGCTCTAGGAAAGGAAAAGCCAGAGCCGAGTAGAGCCAAATTTGTATTTCCATACAGTTAAGCATTCGGTTCTATGGTAGAAGTGTGCACAATACTTGCTTTGTTGGGGGCGAGGAGCCCGGCTGAGGAATGTGGGAAGAACACATTACAGTCCCTACTGAGAATCTGAAGCATTCTGGGATAAACTGGTCAATATGTATTTCTGTCATTCAGAACAAACAAGTTCGGTATTTAGTGAGGCTTATGTAACCGCTTTAGCTGGGGGTGGGGGCGGCTTTGATGCCACAGCTACATCCCCTGTGTATCCCTGGGAGGGAGGAGCCAGAAAAGAAAGGACACTGGACTCTGCCTCAGACTATCTCAAGCCACTGTGGATGGCCACAGAGCGCTCCAATGAAATGGCCTGCATCTCTGTTGCCGTCACAACTGGACAGTGAGTGAAGAGATTCCAAGGTGCCTGAGATGCTACAAAACACAGAGACCTGGATTCAGACACAGTTCTTGTCTTTGTGTTAGAGTACAAAATCAGTATGTACACAGATTAGGCCACATCCACAACCCATCACTGACTGTACACATCTTACAATGTATACTCAAGGGTGGATTTTCAAAATCATGAAGCGTTTGTCTAATAAATCAACCTTTAAAAGATACTTGTTTGTGGGGGGGGGCATGGTGGCACATGGCTTTAATCCTAATACTTGGGAGGTAGAGGAAGATAAATCTCTGTGAGTTTGAGGCCAGGCTGGTCTACATAGTGAGTTCCAGGACAGCCCGAGCTACAAAATCAGACAGATTCTGTCTCTAAATATCACACACATACACACACACAGACCCAAACAAACAAAAATAGTATATATGTAAGATTTTTATAGTTAGTTATTTAAATTTATTACTCCCTGAACATTTTCGCCAGGGAGCCTCCCTACCTCACTCAAATAAACAACAAAACCAAACTCTTTAGCACGGGTGGATCTTTTAACCACTGAGCTGGCTTTCCTGCCCTGCACAGGTAGATCTTTGAGCCATGCTCCAAACATTCACTCAAGAATGACCAGCAGAGCAGGGCGGTGGTGACGCACGCCTTTAATCCCAGCACTGGGGAGGCAGAGGCAGGCGGATCTCTGTGACTTCGAGGCCAGGCTGGACCGACAGCCTCCAAAACAATACAGAGAAACCCTGTCTCGTAAAACCAAAAAAAAAAAAAAAAAAGAATGACCAGCAGAGTGATGGAGTGTGTGTTCAGCATGAATGAAGGCTCAATTCCCAAGACTGCTAAAAAGAAAAAAAGCGTCTAAAAGCGTACACAACGATCTCCAATCATCTCACCTGTTTTCCTTCCATCCTCCCATGAACATGACCTGATAATGTCTATGTATTTGCCTAGTGCGGGTTATTCCTATACCGGCAAAGAAGGTGCCTGTGTTCTATGACGCAAGAGGGATGCAATCTTTCGTGTAAAGGGCTGAAAACCCAACCAACCAGTCCTGCAGTTCATTCCCTGCAACTCCACGAGCTTCATTAAGCATTGAAAATACAGCCTCAAGGATGTGGAGACAGACTGCCTAAAGAGGACAGATTGGAGATATTGACAAAGGACAGAAGACTGGCCTTGTGCTCAGTGTTGGGACAGCCTCGGGGAGTGCATGGCATCACCTGCAGTTACAGTGTATTGCACACTTTATTCTCTTACCAGCTAAAGCCATGCTTGTTGGAAGGCGTGTATTTCTCCAGCAGGGCTGTCAGTTTCAGGAGTGAGTATTTCTGCAGTAGGTTCATCTGGACCACAGACTGACAGTTAATCTGCAGAGATACAGAGTTTAGGCTTGGCCGGTGAGAGCTCTGGAAGCTGTGCCATCTCAGTCTGTGCCTGCAAGAGAACAGGGCAGGAGTGAGACGGATACTTCTCGGCAGGGGAGAAGCAGGCTGCTCGCCGACTTCCCAGGAACCAAGAGGACTGATGCTACTTTCCAGTTTTTCCCCATAGAAAAATGGTTGGTCCTTCCTACATAGCCACAGAAAGTTTGTACCAGAGCATCCTCGGACTCTCAGGCTCAGCACACTCAGAAGATGTCCAGCATCTATGCACACGGGGGGGGGCAGGGCGGCACCTTCCCATTTAGTGCAAATAACCTCTGGATTGCTTACAATGAGCTGTTAGTTCACTGTTATACTGTATTATTTAGGGAATAATGACAAGAAGATAGGTACCTGGCTAAGCCTGAAGATTTGGAACTGACTGGACAAGTCGTTTGCCATTGTAACCATTTCTATGGATACCCCTTGGCGGCACAAAGTCTGATCGAACTGTGCAAACACACCCACCCCAAGGTTTCATAGTTTTCATCCTTCTTGACTAAAGATCTACACCTCGTACACAATACGCCCTTTCTTTTGGATTGCTGGGGTCTCCTGGTTGGACATTACATGGCTGTGGCTTTATCCCACCAAGCAGACGATGCGGGATCCCCACCTTGGTCTGGAGAAGTAAGGCCCTTACCTTTTGCACCTGGTCAGGGATGCCCCCACCCCAGAGTCCCTTCTTTCTGGGATGTCAGTGGGCTCCTCAGGCTCGTTGAGGGAGTTGCCCGTGCTGTCCAGGTCACTGGGTGTCCTTCGGTCATGGTCCACGTCCAGGTGTATCTGTTTTGGAGACGACGGGCAGGGAGACACGGAGTCCAGGGCTGAGTCCGAGTCCCCCTCATCGGAAAACTTTTCAGACCACTGGTTGACTATCCGCTGCATCCCCTTCACGTGGTAGAGAATGTCATCCAGCTCAGGGAAGATGTCCTCATTCTCTAGGTCGGCCAGGTCCCCCGAGCTGGAATACAGGATGGAGCCCGGCACGTTGTCATAGATGCTTAGGCGGCTGCTCACCGAGCTGGAGGAATTGCGTCTCTTTAGTTCCTTAGGACTGTCACTGCTGTTTTCTCTCCGTAGGCTGAGGTGGCCGGGGCCATGGAAGCTTCCAGTCCTCCAGTTCACAGAACTGCTTCCCGAGGAACAGAAACTGCCATTGGAGAGGGCCTTGGGGAAGGTGCCAGGCTTGTGATCTTCCGGAATGTAGAACACTGTGTCCTCCGGGTAGCTCTCCCGGTTCTTATAGTTCTGCTCTGTCACGTTATTCAAGGCGGACTGACTGAAAGGGTCGAAGCCCTCGAGATACATGCCCACCCGCTTGTTACAGGTGCTGAGGCTCCGTGTCCTGGTGATTGGGCTCGGGGTGCTGACAGCACTGCTGGTCTCTGACTGGCTGCTGCTACTGCTGGTCTGGGTGGAGTTGGACACACTCCTTTTTCGTACCATGGGCACGTTGATGTGGTTGCCATTGAGGGCTGATATCTCCACGCAGTTCAGCTGCTTCAGCTTCTCCTCATCCATCCCCTCCTGCAGAATGGGAGCGCTGATGATCAACCCCAGCTTCGAAGGCGCCTTGTGCTTGCCGTGGTGGGAGCCCTTGAGCTTCAAGCTCTCCATCCGTTTCAGCAGGCTCCGTGTCTTAGACTTGGTGTTTTTCTCGTGGCCTTTCATACTGAAGCTGAAGCTGGACAGTTCCTTGGGGGACGGGAGGCTGGAGAAAGAGTCATCGTTGCCTACGAAGTGGCTGGAGGAGCAGACGCTGATGACGGAATTCGTTCGGGGTGTCACGGCATCCCCACTGTGGGGCACGTGCGTGGGGACGCTGCTGGTGCTGCTGAGGCTTCGGACAGAGGACACCTCCTGGCGCTCACTGAGGTCTGTGAGCATGCTCTCGTGGCTTGTGGCGCTCCGCAAGTGAGGGTCGTCAGGGGACCCAGGGATTGGGTCGTGCTTTGGAGAAAAGACATCAAACTCTTCAAGCCGGGACCACCTCTTGCTGTCCCTCTGAAACGTCCACTTGCCACTTATTGCACAAGGCTCATCTTCATCCGAGTCCTCACTCTGCAAAGACAAAATGAAGCCGTGTATGTGCTAGACCAAGAAGATGGCGGGGCGGGACACAGGCTAAGGGCCAGGACACTAATCAAAGGATGCTCCCAGTGTCCATTACTCACTTCCTTCATACTGTTTCTAAGAAACAAAGATGGACTTGAAGACTTTATTTTATTTATTTATTTTGGTTTTTCGAGACAGGTTTTCTCTGTGACTTTGGAGCCTGTCTTGGAACTAGCTCTTGTTAACCAGGCTGGTCTTAAACTCACAGAGATCCACTTGCCTCTGCCTCCTGAGTGCTGAGATTAAAGGCATGCGCCACCAATGCCGGGGTACTTGAAGACTTTATTAGTACTGTATTTTATCTAGAGAATGTGTTTGCACACATGTGTAGGGGTGTGACTGGGTGTATATGGATGCCTATGGGTATGTACCATGTTCAGAAGATTATGGGTCAGTGTGAATTTGCTCTTCAACCATGTAGGGCCTGGGTACAGAACTTGGTTGTCACGGCTGGCAGCAGGCACCTTTAGCCATTGTCATTTCACTGGCCCAGATATAAAGACTTTAACAGAAAGTCCGACCAAGTGTTACCAGTTAAATGAGTTACTTTATTGAAAATCTGAGTCTTTAGGCCATTCATTAATTGCTCACAAAGGGGACCTCTGAGCTTGGTGAAAATTCCAAGCATGCAAAATATTGTGAACTGGGACTCGAGTCAGCAGCGGTGGGACTCCCCCGTGTAGCTGCCTGTTGACAGAGTGTGTTTATATTCTCTTGTGCAATTAACAAAAAAGTCACTTTCAAACAGCACAATGGCAGCTGAAGGCTGTAGGTAGCCTAAAACAAAAAGTCAGGACATCCTCCACATAGTGAGCCATCACATGGCAGCCCAACCCTGCGTCATCACTTACTAGTACTCCCCCCCCCCGGCAGTTAACAAGGGTGGTGGGCAGGTTCAATGTCAGATATGCTCCAGGCAATCTAACAGGGCTTCAAGAATGCCCAGTGATGCCATCAACATGGGGCATTTGTAGACACTAGGGAGTACAGCAGTTGACTACACCTGGCTTACGTTCAGGAACCGGGAATGTCCCACCAGAATACTGCCTTAAAATTGTAACTGAAAGACCCAACTCCGTATGCCAGCCATCCTTGCCACTGGGATGACAGTATCAAGACCCAGTTAGCTAAGGCACTGAGTAGACAGTGTCAATGTTCTGTGGGCAAACGGGTTCCTGTTTACCGAATCTGTGACACTAACTCCTAGCATTGCCTCACCCTTTCCCAAGGCCCCACAGCTCTTATCCAGAGGAAGAAAAAAAAAAAGTTCATATCACCACTGACTGAGTGTGTGCGTGCGACTTCCTGCCCTGGCCCCTTCCTCCCTGCCCCACACCAAATCTCCTACTATTCGAGTATCCTTCAAGCCAGCCTTTGCTTTCATCTTGACAGCTCTGAGATGGAGTTACTGCTCCATCCTGGAAGCTGGGAGAGCTCCTAAAAAATGTTAGCTTTAGTCCTCCAGGGAGCAATGCGAAATTCCTCTGCAATTCAATGGGCTTCGTGTTCTTAGACATATGGTACCCACCAAGTTCATTGGGGAAAAGCAACAGATGATTTCCTTCAGCTGACTGCAAATAGGGGCTTCAGCGCTTAGAATGGACAAGCAGAACCTTTTACAGTGCACCTAGTCCTGTTTGGGTTTGCCCGCCTGTTGGCCCCACCCTGTTGCGTAATTCGGGTACTCACTCGCTTCCGGTGAGGGCTGACCTCCAGCTTCATCACTGCGCACTTGTTTAACGTATTCAGTCGCCTACAGAGCAGAGAAAGGACATCAGCAAGGAAAGGAAACCACTAAAGGGCAGGCAAGCACTTCTTCTAAACAATGGACACACACAGCAGGCTTCCCTGCACTCACTTAGCCGAGAGTGGTAAACTTCCGCTATAAAATGAGTACTCTAGTACTGGCACAGTGGTGCATGCCTTTAACCTCAGGACCCGGGAGGCAGAGGCATGTGGGTCTCTCGTGAGTGTGAGGCCAGCCTGGTCTAGCCTAGTGAGTTCTAGTCTCCAAAAATGGGAATAACTTTTAAAAGGTGCCTTTCTCTTTCGTGTACTTTTCGTTGACATTTTTTACCTTTTCTTGAGTAGATGGCATACTATAGCTGTAGTGTTAGTGTGACGTCTGCTTTAGGGGAGACACAGGTTATTGGATAGAACTGGGGAAGGCTGTTGGTGAAACGTTCAGTGTATCCCATCTCCCATCAAATAAGAATGAAAAAGGACAACAGGCCCCGGTAATCTCCCAACAAATGACCACCTCAGAAGGTAATTTTACAGAGCTTTTAGTTTAGTCTACTGAGAGGAAATTCCTGCCTTCTGTAAGGCTCAATGCTTTACACGGTTTTCTATCAGCAAAGATTGTATGCCATGCCAACAGGAAGAGCACAAATGATTATTTCAAAATCTGAACACTGCTTAGCTGGTAAGTGCCTGTCTAGTAAAAATCTGAACACTGCAAACCCACAAACCAGAATCTCACGGGGTTCAAGCAGGCACTAATATCACCTTCTTTGAACAGGGGTCAGTCTGCAGCAGCTGTGAACACTCTGCCCCACCGCCCAAAAGTAACATCCATGTAACATTACAGAAACAGGGACCTCAGTGTAGTTCAGTGATAGACTTGCCTAGCACACACAAAGTCCCAGGTTCAATCCTTAGTGCAATGGAAATCAGTCAATCCATCAACCAACCATCAATCAATCGATTTCATTAAAAAATAAAATTCTTAAAACTCACAAGAAATAAGGGGGGAAAAGGCACAGTCTACATACTCCCTAACTAGTGTCCACAGTGTGTGAGTGACAGCTCTCCAGGCCTTGGTTCTTCCCAATACCTTCCAGATGACCATCACCGAGTCTTCCTTCAAATGATGACCCTTTTAAAATGTGTCTGCATGCTACCTTGTAAGCCTCATGACCTCCCCGCCACCCATCGGACCTGCATTTCTTTCTCAAGCTGCAACCGTACATTTTCATAGCATTTAATTCCCTCCACTTCAAACTGATCCCGAGTGCTCCTCAGGCTTTATCTCCCCCATCCTGCTCTGGTAACTCGCCTGACAACCTGAGGGCACAGGGACAGGCCGTATTTCTGCAGCCTGATAAGCCTGCCTTTGAGTCCACAGATGATGTGAAAACGTGCTTATAGAATAAACAGAGATAAAGCAGGACACCGATGTTCAGAAAACTCTCCACAGGATGGGGAGGGAAGGAAAACAGCTGAGAAACACTGTAGGCTCGCAGACGGGTGTAGGACCCCTCTCTAAAGGACGGCAGTTAAATGACACGCCCACTATTTTCAGCACCCCCCCCCCCATCTTTTCAAGGTTTCAAGAATGAGGAATGGTTACAGTTAGTCTTAGGTCTGGGTTTCATTAATCAAACCTGTAATCAAATCTCCACTTGACTCCATTTGGGCTTTAATGGTTGAATGATGTTTATAACCAGATTTACTAGGCATGGAGGCCTATGGGGGTGGGGGAGGGAAAGAGACTTCACAAACTCCAGATTGGGGCCAAACAAAAAAGACCCAGGAGGTTAGTTTTATACAGGTCAAGTTTGCCTTTTAATGTTGGTAGCAGCAAATTAATGGCCTTGCATTCCTGAAGGCCAAAGTTACTTTCAGGGTTTCTATGGTTTTCATTTATTTTTCCCTTCACCAGCCTGCATTCCCCAGGATCTCCAAAGACTTACGAGGAGGGCCTGTATACTTCTAGAGGGGACATAGGGACATAAGACAACAGCTCTAACCAGAGAAGAAACTTATCTCAAAGAAAAGAGCACAAGAATGGTCACTAGAATTTGGCAAGGGGCAGTGAGTTCCAAATAGGCGGGTAGGGAATACAGCACAAAGACAGAAGGACTCAACATAATGGGTTAACTACAGTTAACATTACTTCATTTTAAAATGGCTAACTTGAATATTCTCAAGACAAGAAATGGTAAAAGTGCAAGCTGGTAGACACGTTAATCACCATGATTTGCATACAAGTATTGAAACATCGCATGCTACCACACAGAGCTATACATGCAACCACATGGATAGTCATGTTATATTAATCAAGAACTAAAAAAAAATGGTTCTAGCTAGGTTAACTGCCACTGTCTCTCTCTGGGTGAGGGACTGTGCTGCACACCTCTAATGCATTGGCTCATACTTAGTTCTCTGACAATCTTCCTAGAGATTATACTGCGGTTTATCTCTATAAGGGAAGAAAAGGGGTGCAGAGAGCTCAGGAATTTTGACCCAGGACCCAGGATTAAAACACAGTGGCTCTAGTGCCCAAACACAGCATCTTCTACACTTGGTTCTGAGACAAGTATTAATGATGGTAACAAATGAAAGTCAAGCAGAGTGAAGTAGCATCCTTCAAGTAAGTGGCTGGAATACTGTTATCAATAACCATCTGTAGCCTTGGGCATTCTACCCGCCCCCCTCCACCACCGCCCAGGGCCCAGTACCAAAGGAATGTGTGGGTCTTATCTCCTGGGTAACTTGGGTCTGTTCTAAAGACAGAGGGAGCCAAGGGCGGACTATCAAAGGTTCAAGAGTTAGGCTGCACAGAGCTGCAGGCATGTAGATAAAAGGATATCAGTGGAGATCTGGGCCTCCTTGCATTTAAAACAAAAAAACAGAAGAATGGCTAAGGAAACAAGGGACCTGACCAAAACTCTCCCAATTCTTACAGATTTTCTTGGAATTACACTTAATATGCTTACATTAAATTATTTGTTGATGGGTGTCATCCTAACACTTGGGAGGGAGGCAGGAAGATTGTTGAGTTCCAGCCCAGCTTGGGCTACACAATAAGATTCTGCTCCCAGCACCCCACCCCCCACCCAATTACTTGCTTCATTTTAAACTGAATGGAAAGAGCAATGTGGTCAGGATGCCTCTGGAAGGCTGCTTGACATAGCTTTGACAGGTCATGGGTGGCTTGGGGACAAAGTACATACTGAAGATGACAGTGGCAGACTATGTAGTTATTTGACAACTACTAGCTGATGTTCACGTTTCTTTCCTGTGTGGGTAGGAGGAGTCAGTTCAATTCCAAAGGAAAACAGCACTATGGAATGTTCTGAAGCTACAGGAAGACAAAGGGTACCCAGCACTGCTCACAGTGGTTTGAGCAAGCTGCACTCTCCCAGTACTAATAGAACTTGCTTGTAATCATAGTTTTCTTAATGGGTTTAGATTGTTAGTGAAGCTAGCAAGACTGACAGAAGAGCCAGTCTCTTCAAGGGAACAAGTCTGTTGCTATCTTAAAATAACACCCGAAGGGTAAGTCAGGCAGTGGTGGTACACACCTTTATTCCCAGAATTTGAGAGGCAGACTCAGGCGGATCTCAGTGAGTTCAAGGTCAGCCTGGTCTATAGAGCAAGTTCTAGGATTGCCAGAGTTATGCAGAAAAACCCTGTCTCTGAAAAAAAAATGTTCTATACCCTACTAGTCTCATAATTCTAATTTTTGGTCATCACTAAAGTTTATATTTTGATAGTACCATTGTTCAACCTCATCCTATCCCTGCTTTTATGTCTAAGAGTCTTCTGCCCTGAATAAAAAAGACATTAAAAGAAATCAGCTCCTTTTAACTTTTTATCACAACTGTTGTATGACTTACAAATACAGGAATGTGGATATTTTCTAACCAAGTACAAAGCTAGTGCGACTGCCTATCGGATGTGGCCCACCTCACGGGAGAGCACTAGATGTGAGGAATCCCGGGATGCTTCCAACTGAGTTTCTCCAACTCATCTGCTTAAATGTTTAAACAGGGGGTGGCGGGTGAGGAGGTGGGGGTGGTAAGGTGGGGGGGGTATGTGCATGGAAAGCTTGTCCACAGACAACATCACAAGCCAAGAGGAGATGTTTGTAATCACACCACAGCTCTGTTATCTGAGGGGCCTGGAATTCCGTAGGCGAGGGCATCTCTGCAGTTCGCACACGTAAAGTGAATGTCAGAAAACCTATGGGGGGTCTTGAAATCTGCCTACGGCTCCCTTCTGTTCCCTTTTTCAAAGGCCAAAGTCACTGCCATTATGTGACTTCGTGGACACGGGTCCTGGGGCTTTCCATCTCCCCAAATTTTGATGACTATCATTATGGGTCCTGAATAATAGCTCCCTCTAATTAGGAAGTAATTGTCTGAGGTGGGATCTTGTTGTTTAGCCCGGTCTGGCTTTGAATTCCCATTTTTTTTTCTCTGCCTCCCCAGGGCTGAGATGATAGTGAGCACTTATGACACGCAGAATTAAAATGGCATTAAAACAGAAAAAAAGAGCCGGGCGTTGGTGGCGCACGCCTTTAAAACTAGCACTTGCTCGTAATGTAATCATAGTTTTCTTAATGGGAGGCAGAGGCAGGCGGATCTCTGTGAGTTCGAGGCCAGCATGGTCTACAGAGCGAGTTCCAGCAAAACAATACAGAGAAACCCTGTCTCGAAAAACCAAAAATGAAAAAAAGTAAACTCAACTCTGGGATTTCCTGCACATACTCCAAACTGGTTTTTTTTCTCTTTTTTCACTATCACATCTAACCTATATGGGATATGCTAGTCTTATGCACACAAGGGAAAACTGAAGCTGACCCAGAATACACCGCCAAGGGCCAAGTTTGAACCCAGGCAAAGGAGCAGTTTCCTCAGGCCTCTCTTAGTTTGGATCTAGTCTCTTCTACGGGAGGTGGCTGCACCCCCTAGGTGGTATTCACAGCTGGCCTAAACCAAACTGTGCAGCAGGCCTTTTTCCTTCGAAAAAGGAAAAAGTTGATTTTTGAACTGATATTCAAGAACAATTCCTAAAAAAAATTCTTCAAGAATCTAATCATAACTCTTTGGGCTGAAATACTGAGATGGTATTTTTCTGACCCAGACATTCCTAAGTGGTTGATGTAGTTCAGAAGGCCGACTCCCAAAGTGGCTTAACATGTGTGAAACGGGTGATCTGACTGACACAAAGCTCAAGTATTTCCTAGGATGCCTTTTCTGAGTGACCTCATTCATATGCACTAGCGTCAGTGATGACTTGAGAAGAAATTAATTATGCCAGGCAGCTAAGCGAGAAAACATCTTTACAATGTCCGGGGCGATTCAGATTCCAGACGAAGACTTCTCTCCCTCTCCAAACTGCACTGGTGGCATTTTCTCATTCCAGATGACACAGTGATGATATTACATACTCCAGGACACAAACTCACTTTTCCCAGAAAAATGTGTGCATGCCCTGGACACTCCTGACTACAGCGGCACACTGTTTTTTTTTGGGGGGGAGGGGTAAACATGGCTTTTTTTTCTTTCTTTCATAAGCTACAAAATCCAGTAACCTATCTTTTCCCAAAACCACACTACTCAAGTCTGCTGCTTCAAACAACATTATACAAGAAAGGATGGTGCGTGCATGTGTGTGCATGTGACAGCTGTTACTGTGTTCTTTATCTACACATGGAAAGAAACACGAGATATCATCTCAACTTAAGATGTTTTCCCCAGTTAAAACAGACACTAACATTAGGGGCTGTATAAGGAGCCCAGTCACAGCAAGCATGAGGGCCTGGGTTTGTATCCCCTGCATCCGGGTAAAAGCCAGGCATCACTGGAGCCCACCGGCTCGACAGTCTAGATGAACTGGTGAGCTCCAGGTTCAATGAGACGTAGTTCCAAACAGATAAGGCAAAGAACAACTGAGGAGTATTGGACAATGACCTCTGGCCTCCCCAAGCATGCACAAAGGTACACAGGTGTTCACACAGGTACACATGTACACACACACACACACAAATAATTAAGGTCATTAAGGTCTTTTAGAAATGAAAAGAGAACCGATTTTAATGTTAGAACCCAACCAACATGTGAGTTCTGTCTGTGTATATCCATTCCCTGAGAACTGGGCTGTGAAGGCTTTTCAAAGGTTTCGAGAAAAATTACAAGGGATGAATAATGCTCGATGAATAAAAATGTCATCCAGGGTTTGAAAGGATTATCTGCCGCCTTGTAGCCTCAGGTTTTATTACTTTTACTTCTCCAAATCCCACAAGCTGCTTCTCAGCCAGGAGAGCTACCAGCTCACCGAACAGGACACCTCTGACAGCTTTATTCACAGCTCACACCAATGCCCCTTTACTGCCTGTCCCCCATACATTAAAGGCTGTGCTCAGTGAGTTTACGGCCTATTTAATCCTGTCGTCACTCTACCTGGGGCAGCTGGCGCTTCTGAGGAGCCTCCTTGGAATTCAGATGACATCCCTGGCTGCCTCTACTAAGCCCTGCGCCTCTGAATGTCTCCTTCCACTCAGTAAGGGGCAGCTTTGACTCCATAGTGCTCGTGGTCCGTGACATTGACTCCTTAGAAAGCCTGCATTTCCCAACCTCCAGAAAGTTTACAGTTTCTGTCGCCATACGGTAACAAAGTCTGGGATGGTGCTACGTGAGTGCCTCTGACGCCAGCGTGGATGCTATTTCAACGATGATACATCGCACAACAGCATTTTACTTTAGCGTTCATCCAACACTCTTATAACACAGCAACTTATATCCCTGTATCATTTGATCATCAAAGACTTCAAACTGAGGCTGAGAGATGAGTGTCATTTTTTTTAAACATTTATTTTCCTGAGCCAGGGTTGCTCAGGGTAGCCCTGAACTCAGATTGGACTGTCCCTGCCCCTGTCCCCCCTCCCCCCAGTGCTGAGATCCAAGTACCATGTTTTTAAAAGAAAGGAAAATGTCAGTTTACCTGCATAGGGCCTCAATGGCATCTCTGTCCAAGAAATCATGTTCTCTCTTGACCAGAGAAATATCGATAGGGAACAGGAGATCTGTAGAGAGATGGAAAACAAGTACAGTTGAGCGCCTAGAATCTTGCCAGATTAGCCTCTTTCGGCCATGTGTTAGAGTGCGCATCCATTGTCCTCATTCCCTGGCAAGCTATGCGGGTGCAGGCAACAATTCCACTCTTGGTTTAAACCAGTCCTAAAGTAGTTTAGGACCTCCAAGTTGTTTCTCTGTCGCAGAAGTGGTTCAAAACACTCTCCACCTTCAAGCTAATTACCAGGCAGTGAATGCCTGCCGTACGTTATAATTTAAACCAGAATGAATCCAGTAAGGAGTCTCCTTTGTAATGGGGCTTTAAAAAATGTCTCTGTTCACGCGCCACCAGGGAAGGGGCCACAGGAAAAACAAAAGCAAACCCCCAAACAAAACAGAACCAGGGCCAGGAAAGATTCAAGGAACAATGACAAAGGACAGCTGGAGGACTGGGCCATTTACATGATAGGATACACCGCAGAGAATTCAAGATATGCCATTTTAAAACAAATCTTAGCACTTCCAGACGGTGGCCAAGGGGTTAACTCCTGGTACAACAAAGGGCTACACAGATACTGTAAAACAATGACAACCAAGTCCCTCAATCTGTGAGAGTCCAGTGCTCTCAGAACAATGGGCCACTGAAAGCAGGAAGGATTTCTCTGTATTATTGCCTGAAGAGAGTCCTCTGGTAGAGAGTCACATAGTGGTCACAAGCCTGGGAACAAGGGGGCCTACACGGGGGAGGGGGAGGGAGGGATGGAGAAAGGTTGTTTATCAGGTGCAGATGGGAAGTTGGCTCGGAGGGATAACCACTAAAGCTATGGTGTTCCTAAGACAGCTATGAATGAACACGATTGTGTTTTTCAAAATGGCTAGTAGACAAAGCAATAATAAATATTTGGGATGACAGCTATGTGGATTACCCCGTTCTGATTACTACATAATATAAACATGTAATATAATGGCATGCCATGCCTCACATATATACAATCGATTTTTTTTCTTATTTGGGAAGCTGAGGGATCCGTGGGCTGCAGATGAGGGGTCCGTGGGCTGCCACGCCACTAAGTATGTGTGGCTTGTTCACCTGGCCTAGAGGCAGGATGAGGTAGGAAATGACCGCCCAGAACATGGCCAGCACACCCCAAAGTCTGCCTACCGCCTATGCTTCAAATGTGGGGCAGGTGTGGGGGTACCAGCCAGGAGGACGGAGCCTGCATTTTAGGACTGTGAAAGCAAGACAGGGCCTGGAAATTGGATTTACCAAAACCAACAGGCACAAGAAGGTGCCACCCAGCAGCGAATCAACAGCCAAGAGGACATAATTGAGGGAAATTTAATCTTAAAGTGGAAAACAAAAGCCCAGCCACTTCAAATCCAATTACCTTTCCCTAGCATCAGGAGAACTGTAAATTAGAAAAGCAACAAGGGCTCCTCCTGCTTCCACCTCCAAAACCCTTTAATAGGTCAGATGTTCTGTCTGAAGGCAAGCAACTCCACCACGTTAAGCAGTGTAAAAAAAATCAAAATAAAAGAACAATATGAAATTGCATACATACTGCGAAATTGAGGGATGGTAAACTACTTCAGAACGTAAAAGTAAATAATCACTGAGTGCTACCGGAAGACTATGTATTAATAATGTTAGGGATCACTCTACACCTTGCTTGATTTGAAAATAAAATTATCTATAAAATGAGACCTTTCACCCCTACGTTCTAGTGTCACTGATATTCTGCACACTACCAAAAGAAAAATGTTTGTGGCTAATCCTGCCACAAACCCTTTGATCTACAATGGTGTCCTGCCTGCAAGAAATGCTAGGGCCATGGTGACACAAAGCTTGTGTGTGGGGGGGGGGAGGGGGGTGTTAATCAACCAACCAATATCTGATCTCACTGAAGACCCACTCCATGAAAGTGGAACCCATACCCGAACTGCTTGGGTGACCAAGAATCTGAGACTAGAGAGCTCAGGGGCCTTTTGTAAAATCAAATACTACTGTTATAAAAATTAAAAACAACACAAAACCCTGTAGCAAGAAAAGGGACTCCTGATGACACTCCTCTACACTCAGATCAGTTCCTTGCTCAGCCATCATCAGAGATGCTTCTTCCTGTAGCAGATGGGAACAAACACAGAGACCCACAGCCAGACATTACAGAGAGTGAGACCTTGGAACACTCAGCCCTAAATGGATGAGTGTTTCTCCCTCTAGGTTTCTGCCTTGAGCTCCTGCTCTGACATGAAATCTTTCCCCTCAGGACCCAGGGAACCTTGCAGTAGAGTTGTCTGAAAGAGCTCAGCTGGAGAGAGAGAGGGAGGGAGGGAAAGAGAGAGGGGGGAGAGACAGAGAGAGAGAGAGAGAGAGAGAGAGAGAGAGAGAGAGAGAGAGAGAGAGAGAGAGAGAGAGAGAGAGAGAAAGGGGGAGGGGAGGAGGGAGGGAAGGGGAGAAACCATGAAGTTGGGTGGGTAGGGGGGTGGGGAGGATCTGGGAGGAGTTGCCAGAGGGGAAAACATGATCATAATATATTGTATAAAATGTTGAAATCTTCAAAAAAGAAAATTATCAGCCGGACGTTGGTGGCACACGCCTTTAATTCCAGCACTTGGGAGGCAGAGGCAGGTGGGTCTCTGTGAGTCCGAGGCCAGTCTGGTCTACAGAGCCAGTTCCAGGACAGCCTCCAAAACAATACAGAGAAACCCTGTCTCGAAAAACCAAAAAAAAAAAAAAAAAAAAACCAAAAAAAAAAAGAAAGAAAATTATCTATAAAATGGAGTTCACTCAAAGCTGTGATTATTATAAACTAATTTCATATACAGATAATAGGTCTCCCGTATGAACAGCTAATTCATCTCATCGGATGCAGAACACTTGCTATCAGCCTCCGGAGCCAAAAGCTAAGAGAATCAGTTAGGCATGAGTGCTCTTCCTCTGTCCCTTAGCATCCTGTCTACTTGATATAAGCCAGGGTCATGTAGGAAGAGAGAGCCACAACTGAGAAAATGCCTCTATCAGATTGGCCTGTAGGCGAGTCTGTGTTGCATTTTCTTGATTAATGATAGATTTGGGAGGGTCCAGCCCACCATGGGCGGGGCTGCCCTTAGGCAGGTGCTTCTGGGTACTGCAAGGAAGCTAGCCAGTAAGCAGCACTCTCCTCCATGGCCTCTGCTTCATTCAGTTCCTCCCTCCAGGTTCCTGCCCTGACTTCTCCTGGTGATGGGGTGTAAACTTTCAAGATGAAATAAACTCTTTCTCTGCAAGCTGCTTTTGGCCATATGTTTTATCACAGAGACAAAGGAAGCAAACTAGCCCAGTGACCTTTTTTACTTTAATTTTCCTGTTCTGTTACGGTGTGGACTAGGAAAGTCAGACACTCGCTGTGGGAAAATGTCCACTACAAAATGGAGTACGTGCATCACCTGCTATTACTCGGAAACCTTATTTCTGGGCTCCTGCAAGTTAGATTGTTATGCATGTGTTACAAAAGACAGGCACATGAATGTTCAAAAATAACAGTTTACAAAAATAAAACTACTGAAATGCCCAACACCCAGAATAGAGATCGAATGATCTTCAATCCATTTGATGCAGTATTATATAGTAGTCAAAGAAAATGAGCCATAGAAACACAGGTTAGAGGAACCTTAATATAGTATTATAGGAACAGATTAAATCTACACAATACCTTCTTTTTTCTTTTTTGCAAAGCTAGACTTTACACAAAATATACCTTTCAAGAACCTAAATAAAATTGCAGAAAATGAGAACACAAAAACCACTAAGTGTTTTTGGGACATGGGCTACTCTTCGCAGGGGGACAAGATGACTCTCATTACCGAGTTTTCTTTTGTTTTGAATGGTGGGAATCTTGGGTACTTATCCCATTGTTTTTTTTTTTTAAAGAAATACTTAACTAAGAAACAAAATGTCTCCAAATAGCTTCTAGACCCATGAAGTACCTGGTATGACTATGCTGACTTAAAATAAGATGGTATCCTCGCCTTACCTTCATAAAGCTGTGCATACTGGGGGAATCCAGTTACCCGCAGCCAATCACAAGCTTCTTTGGCTTCAATTTCTAAAAACAAACAGAAGATGAGTTTGTTAGTCATGTTTTCCTGCCTTAATAAACTGATTCTATCAGACAAGTAAAACACAACTTGTGCAAAACAATATAGACAAAGGAACGAACAAAAAGTCCACTTCATACCAAATGGCTTACATTTTATGCACATTTCCATCTCTTAAAATGCAATAATCTGTTTTCTCTTTAAAGAAAACAGAGGAGGCTGGGGCTGCAACTCAGTGGTATATACAGCGGTTTATGCAGCCATGCCTAAGGCCCTGGGACTATCCCCATTATAAGCACAGAACAGGCAGAATAACTCATTTGAAGTCCGGTTGGTCTAACAAGGTCTATGATCTTCCGCTTCAACAACAACGCACCAGATACACCCGTACACCTAGAGCAGAACTTGATTGACTGGGCATAGTCACAGCCCTGTGACGCCTGGGCATTTTAATAGCCAAAGACAAAGTGTCTTTAGGAGCGGCCAGGTATTCCTCAGTAGGAGAGTCGCAGGCTGCCTCAGGAAACTGAGGGTATATGATGTCACCGAATCCCAGCATCTTGGCAGGCTAACTGCCTAATAAAGGCTCCACTTCCCTGTGGTTAAACATCTTGTAGATAGTATTGGTAAACGGAGAGGCCAGCAGCAGCTGACACATTGTGTTAAAACTCACTCAAGCACGTATTTACAATCCTGTTAAAACTGACTCGCAGCGGTGGTCCTGGGCACATTAATTAGTTTCTGTGTTTGCACTAAGAATATTCCTTTCAACTCCTCTTCCCACCTTCTTCAGGCCATTAGAGTGCTTGGTTATTTAAGGCTATTCACTTTATAGAAGTCTCAACATTGGCTAATCAAGCCCAGATTCCCATCTTCATTAAGCCAGATGTCAGTCTGGTGACCACTATTACAAATACACACATCACATTGCTTTGTCTACAAAAATGTTGAAAGTCTCCAACTTTTTTGTTTTGTTTTGTTCAAAATGAGCAACTTTTAAAAACTTTAATGCACCAAGGCAGGTAGGAGGAATACCATAATCGGGCACATCAAGGACCAAACAAGCTGTGGATTTCCGACTTGATGCCCAACCGAAAATGAGGATGCCACTGGACTGATGAAGAGCATCTGAAAGGTTGTTTTCTTGAGTCATTTTAGCATATTGATGAGAGCAGCAATGACTAAGCACGAGATTCAAGGCCTGTTGGGGGAGCAGCTGAAGGGGCACAGGTACAGAAGGACTTCGGTGCTTGCACTGGGTAAGATCTACAGATAGAATTACCTGAGCCCAAACTGTCTTTTTCATGGACTAACTGTTAAATTAGAATTATGTGTTTTGTGTGTGTGCATGTGGGCTTGTGTCCTAAGGGGTAATAAATATGTGGAGGTCAGAGGACAGTTTGTGGAAGTTGGTTCTCTCCTTCCACCATAGAGACATGAGACAGATCTCAGACATCAGGCTTGGTGGTGGCAGCACCCACCGAGCCATTTTGCCAGAGCTCAGATTTTTTTTAGTCTATGTCTTGTCACTGTTTCCATGTCCTTAGAGAATATTTCCAAAAAACAGACTGTTGGACATTGGATAGCAGATAGTTAAAAACTAATGTTTGCTTTATTACTTCGCTTATCAAGTGTTAAGTAACTAGAAATTCGGAGCATCTGTCCATTTTCGGGCACATGCACACAGGGCACCAGGTCAGTGCACATACAAAGGCTTCAGCAGGTACCAGGTCACAAAATTCTGACATCTAGGCCAGGCGGTGGTGACACAAACCAAATTCCAGCACACTCGAGGCAGAGGCACTTGGATCTCTGTGAGTCTGAGGCCAACCTGGGCTGTTACACAGAGAAACTCTGTCTTGAAAACCTTAGAAAAATAAATAAATAAAAATAAAATACCTAAAAAAGAAGGAAAAGGCAAAAGATTTTGACGCCTATTTGCAGTGTGTTCTTGATTTCCTCATTCAAGTGAGTTCATGTTGAAAGGTGTGAAGGTGGCAATGTATTTTTCCAAACAATCCTTCCATCTGTTAATGTAATCACTGACACATTATAAGAACTTTTCACATACATTAATCACTTAGGGTCCCATGTGATTTCAGAAACATCCAGATGTCTACAGCTGGCTTGTGTCTCAGTTATTTCCTATCATTAAGAAAACGGTGTGCTCTCCATTTAACTCCCAAATTGATGTCACCCGGTCACTTTTAGGGCCACCTGGCTAGAAAAAAAATGGTGTGATCTGGGGAGATGGCTCCGTGGGTAACAGCATTTGCTCTGCAAGCATGAGGGCCTAGGTTCAAAGCCCAACACCCGCGTAAAAAACCAGCACAGACAGGTGGATCTGAAGAACTCAAGACAAGGCAAGAATCTTCCAGACAGCAGTCCATTTCCTCACACTGACCCTCATGCGTGCTCACATCATCCTCGGGATAAAAGATCCTAAACCTAAAACACAGGCAGAAATATCAACCAACTGTCCTTAAAACAGGCTCGATGTCCCAGGGGAGGGAGGAATCATGGACTCCCAGAATGCTCCTCTGTGTAGAGTAGGCTTTTCTTTTTTTGGGGGGGGTGTAGCAAGGGAAAAAGTTTAAGGTACTGAAGAAGAACCAGGAAGATGGATGTTGGGTAAACAGTGGCCTTGCACAAGCCTGCTTACCTGAGATCCATCCTGGAGCCCATGGTGGAGAGAAACAATGTCTCAAAGTTATACTTTGACCTCTACATACACACCGTGGTGTGTGTATGCACATGTGCATGCATGGACGCACACCCGAGCAAGCATACACACACACACACACACACACCCCAGAGAATACCACACGCACGTAGCCAGTCACTTTAGCATCTCCCGTTGCTCATTGTGAACAATCCCAACTGTCTCCAAAGGTAGAGCTTTTCCTTGAGTGCAGGTGGATGGTGTGGTGAGCTTGATGAGGATGGTGTTTTTTTTTTAAACAGAAAGGCTACAAGACAATGGCAACACAATGAAACTTGTATACGAGGGGTTCTGCTAAGTACGCAACACACAAATATGTCAAGGAGGAAACAGGAAATTTGTCTTGGAGGCAGCTTAGTTGTTGGTCATACAGAGCAGCCTGCACATGAGATGAATGGGTGTTAAGATCCTTTGTGCACGTCTGGGAACCCTTAGCCCATATTTACACATTTCCTGCTGGCTCGGATGCCCTCTATCTTCTACCCACTATACCTTAACTGTAAGTCTGCCAACTTTCCCGAGCCAGCAGTCATCCTGCTACTGAGCTCTGCCGACCTAGGCTGGTTGAGCAGAAGCCTAAGTGGGCTGCAATACTTTCACAGTGGAACTTGAGGGTTTCTTTCCCTGTGTGCCCATCACAGGCTACAGTAAATCCGTTTCTTCCAAGAAATGCTAAGGAACTGGGAATGTTAGGAAAATGCAAGCCCTTTCCCCAATTCCGGGGAAGTCCTGAGATAAGACAGAAGTGTGGGGAAAGATCCATGTGTACAGAGAGCTGTTCTAGTTAGGGGCAGGTACGCGGGGCTTTCAAATCCAAACCAAGACTCATTCCTGCCCCTGGGTGACACGAATTCCTTCAAAGGAAAGAAAGGGCCAGCTTATCAGGCTCTGGCCACCAGGTCAAGGAGGTCAGCAATGCACACAATGGCTTTAGTAACAGCCCACCTTCACTTTGTGGGTGGGGCTCATGGGGCGGGTCATCTGGAGAAGCATCCAGGTCCACAAATGAGTACGGTATAGTGCTAAGTCATCAGGGACCACAGTGATTCTCGGTCCTCCTAGGTGGGAGCACTACCTTGGGGACTTCCTACAAATGCCAAAGACCACTCAGTCCCATGTTTTCAGATTGGTCTCATCGTAGCACGAACATCTTATTCTACAAAAGCTTTCTAAGCAATGTAAGTGTAGGCAGGACTGACTCCCCCAGGAGTCACACAACTGCCCACAAGCCCTTGGTGCAGTGGTTCTCAACCTGTGGGTTGTGGCCCTTTCACAGGGGTCACCTAAGAACACTGGAAAACACGGATATTCACATTGCGATTCACGGCGGTAGCAAAATTACATTTATGAAGGAGTAATGAAAATATTTTTTTTCGTCTGGGGGTCACCACAACATGAGGAACTGTATTAAATAAGGGGTCACAGCACTAAGAAGGCTGAGAACCACGGCCCTAGTGTATAATCTTTTGTCCTGGATTCTGCCTCTGAATCCAACAGCTCTTAGTGAAATCCCCCCTCCCTCCAAGCAAGTCCCATGCACTACCTAGACTGGTTTTCACCAACCACAAATTTCTCCTTATAATTGTTCAATGACTTTCTATCCCCTTTGAGTTACAATTCAAACCCCTCAGCAAGGTCCTTGGGCCTTCCTAACTTGTCTTCTTAGATTATGAAAGGTCTCCAAATGCAAGCTCTCTGAGGTCCCAGAGTGCCCTGGCTCCCAAGGATCTCTGTGCGCTCCAGACTCCAAGAAATTCCCCCCATTCACCTCATAAACTTCCCCCTTTAAATTCAGGTACACCCCAAAATACTCCCTTTGTACACTAGAATCACACACAGATCTGTCTTTAAAATGTAAAGAAAAGAAAGTTCATTAATATTTTCATTTATTCAAAGGCCGACTAAGAGCTTTTGCTTGACAAGTATAAAAATACACGTTGAACATACATAACTGCCAAAGGCTGGTTATCAGGAGTTATCTATGTAAAATGAGTTCCGACTAGGGTCAAGTCACACAGACTACACATTTAATATTTATTAAACTCCAATGTTATCTAATCACTGCAAAGATTCCGAGGGCATCTCAGTTGCATTCCTACCCTCAGGTGCCTAACAGAAAATTCCAAACATCTAAGGCACATATTCTGGAAGTTTCTGGGAAACAGGGCAATCCCTCAATTGGGGCTCTGGGCATTAAGTGAAGCAAGCCAGCCTGCATTTTCTCCTTCATGCAGTTTTTACTTTTTGAACTCGGTGACTTGCCAGCTATCAGCAGGAATAATCAAA